AAGAATTGCATTTTAGTATGACTCATTTCCTGGCGCGTACAATTTATATTAGGTCAGCGTTCACGGTTCGACTTTCGAGTTCTAGGTCAAACTGGTTTGTTCGACTTTCAAGAAATTCGAGTTCTAGCGAGTTCGAGAACCGAGGTACCACTGTATGTGGTTAAATGAACGATTTCTAGCACTGCTAGTTTATGTTAATATGGTAGACTAACGCAAAACTAGCTAGGGATATGAATTTTACTTCTAGTTTAGTTTGTTATGGCTCACCGGTTCAACTTATCAGGCTTTCTAGCAGTGTTTATGCTAAATCTCTTTTAAAATATTCATCTCGCCGATATGAGGCGGAAATCAGTATTTATTTTATGTGAGTACGAAATATTATTTAGCACTTCATAATGCATAGAGAATGTAATCATTAGGACTCTATAAGAAGCTGATGTCAACTGTGCAGAGAGTGACTTTGTAACCTTCAGAGAATGCAGACCAATTACAGCTGTGTACAATGTGATGAGAAACAAGTATGAATTAGCTTAGCATCTTGTGTTGGCTTAGAAGTATCTGTGTCTTAGCTATTTTGATAGCCTTTGATGTATGAATATGTACTTTATTAGTGGTGCAGCTTATCACTCTGTTGATGGACAAATATAACCTTTGTCAGCTGATGTCACACTCGCAGTGTATTGTGGGTCGAACCGCCATTTTGGTTGTATACAACTCAAATGCCAGCATTTGCGTGAAGCATTATCTTTGGTAAGATGGGACACTCGTGCTGTGTGAAAGGCTGTCATACTAAGTCACATGGTAGAAATGGCAGAAACGTGGACCACAACATGAGATTTTTTCGGTTTCCCACTTGGAAAATAGGATATGGACAGCAGGTAGAGGAGGTAATGAAGAGGCGTCGGGTGGGCTGGGTCGCAGCGGTGAGATGGAAGGAGATCACTGTCAACACAATATCTCCCTTAATACGTGTTTGCTCTCTGCATTTTCATAAAGGCAACTAAGATGTTTTTTGTTTAAGTA